GACTTAATAGCAGTGAAAAAAATTAGAAAAACAAAGAAATTGCTTTCAATTTTTTATCCAAAACTCTCAAATTTTCAACTTTTTATTAAGACGTTTTTTTAAAAATTCAGACAGATCAGAAAGACTCAATCGTTAAAAAGTTAATGTCAACTTCTTAAAATACTATACTGCCTGGGAAAAGGCGTTACTCAAATGTTACTTCTTAATACCGCAAATATAAAAAAACTTAMAAACAAAAAATTTTAAAATAAAAAAAACAAAATTTTAAAATGTAAAATGCAGATTAACAGATTTTAAAACTAAAAAAATATTTAGTAAATTCAGTAATATGTTTTACGAGAATTTGTTAATATCTAGAAAATATTTTAATGAAATAACTAGTTTCAGTTTACTCAATTCTTGAATGTTAAATCTTGAAAAAAAATTAAAAAATACGAATTTGTACTACCCAAAATTTATAGAATCCTATTTTATTTAAGTATTGAAAAAATGTACAAAATATGCAGCAACTCGTTTTATGAAATGTGAAAATCTCAAGCAAACATGTTAAAGAATTGATAAAAATAATAATGAAATAATGTATAAGAATTGAAAGCAATTTTGATTAGTTAATGCAGTATAAGATGATCATTAGTATGAACAAAAACTTTGATTAAAAAAAAAGTATTTGAGACACTTGTTTGTTTTCACTTTAGCTCTAATAACAAGTTAATTCTTTCCAAGTTTTCRACTTTTTCAAAATTATAAGTAATATAGACACAAAAAGTTAATATAATTCTAATCCAAACATTTTGCTTAACTTAATAACAGTAAAAAAATTGAAAAAATAAAAAAAATGCTTTCAAGTTTTTGTCCGAAACTCGACTTTTCAACCTTTTTTTAAAAGTTCAGCTAAAAGATGTGTTCTAAGACTGCCTTAGAAAACGCGAAAACCCGAAATGTTACTTCTTAAAACAGCATTAAAAATATAAAAAACTTAAAAACTCCAAATTTTAACTTTAAAAACAGAATATTAAAATGTAAAATACAGACCCAAAGATTTCCCATGACGATTTTATAAGATTTTAAAACTAAAAAAAACTTTCAGTAATTTTCGTAATATTTTTTTCAGTAATATTTTTTGTTAATATCTTGAAGATCTTTTAATGACAACCAGTTTGAGTTTACTCACTTCTTGAATCTTAGATCTTATAAAAAAATAAAAAATACGAATTTGTACTACTCAAAATTTAAAATCCTAGTTTATTTAAGAATTAAAAAAATGTGTAAAATATTCAGAAAATATCTTAGTTTGATAAAAATAATAATAAAATAATGAATAAGAATTGAAAACAATTTTCATTAGTTAATTAAGTTTAAGATAATCATTAGTATAAACAAAAACTTAAAAAAAAAAGTTTTACATTTTGAGATACATTGTATAACATTTAGAAAAAATAAAATAAAAAAATTGAAAACTGAGAATTAATGTTAATAATTAATTGCCAAAAATGAGTGCGATAATTCCCAAAAATCTCACGTTTTTTGTAAGATAATCAATGTACAGACGTACAAAAAGAAAAAACTTTAGCCAAAAAATTATTATTATTTTTTTTATTTATTATGTACTGCTGTAAATGTAGAAACCGAGTCTGGCAACCAACAGTACACAGCGGTGTGACACACAGCCTAGCTCACCACCGTACTATAAACTACTTATTTCAGACCTGGCCAAAAATTCTTCCGATGACGAACACGAGTTCAAATTCCTTTTTTTTCCAAAACCGCAACTCGAAAAAATTCTCAACCTCTTGAAAACTTAGTCGTAATGACGGGCGTGACGTAATATTCCACAACGTTGWTAATTTAAGTGACTATACATCATACTCACTTTGATTGAAAACCCTCAAACTCTTCTTGTTGTTCACTGATAGAAGCTTCGAGGTCAAGGTAAGATCCATAATCCCCATCTTTGTACAACTGAAGTGCCGCATCATCCAACTGTAACAAATACAAGCCCATTATTTTTCAATACTGGATTGGAMACATCTTTCACTGACATTTCCACAAGCTCCGAAATAAAATACTACCAGACTAGTCGAGTAATAAAAAAATATGTTTTATTCATCCATAAATCGAATGTAAAAACAATAGTTAATAAAAAATAAATGGCATTTATGGCCGCTGAATGGTAGTGACATCAATCATGTGTTAATTGGACGAGAAAATATGTATAGAAGAAGAAAAGAATATGTCTGTCTATGACTTAACTATTAGAAACCGACCTTGAATTATGTCAAAAAATATATTTTTTATAAAGGTGCAACAATGGGAGTGGGCGGGTCTGGCTCATATGGTGCTAATGAGATAATCACTCAAAGCCATGAGAACRGAGTCAGTGGTCCATCAACCCATATTTCGCACTTTCATGAGAGTAAATTAGAATTCTGCGTCAAAAACCTACGAAAATAAATATCGTAGGAAAATATCAAAAATAAACAAACAAAAGTGTGCTGCTCTAATTTTATTTTAAACACCATATAAATAATAATGAAAGATTCCGTAAAATCACAAGTTTGCAAGTCTCTACCATGTGTTTTTGTGAGTTTTGTCTCAAAAAGTTCACCTTTTACTCTGAAACCCATCAAAATCTAAACTATTTCTAAATAAACAGTATAGGATTTTAACTGAACAAAAAGTCTCCTGTAGTAAAACATATTTACTTATTTTGTTTTCTTAATTTTTATGCTTTAATATTAAAAGAATAATTTTCTATGAATTCTATATTTCTTTTTTCTATCAATGTATTTGGATTTAGAATAATAATTTTTCAAAAATCATTTTCGCGTTTCTGCAACATWTWATGCAAGATATTAGGTTAATTGCTTCGTGTTGGCATCATAAAAATGCTTTGGTAAAAATTTTATACACCTAATTATGAAATTATGATTCACCCCGTATTTATAAATATTTTATTTTTAGTTATCAGCCCAAAATGCTAATTAAAAGGTATATAAGGAAAACAAAAACTAGACACCAATACATCCACTTCTGAAACACTACAACCATGTTGAAATACTTGAAAGTAAGTAATTATTTTTTTTTATTATAATTATTTATTATTCTGTATCTGTCAAAATTAATATAATAATGCTGATAATTACAGGTTACTACTGTTGCTGTTATAGTTTTAAGCAGCCTTATTATGACTGCTTATGCACAAGGATCATCAGGACAAGGACAAGGACAGGGACAAAAACCAGAATAAAAAAACTGATTTGAAAGTACGCAAATATTTTTTCTATTATTGCAGGTTGAGTCATTTATGATAAAGACCCTAACCGATTTTCAGACGCAACCCAAAATACATTTTCGCAGATAACTTGGATTTTGTAGCTATCGCAGATATCTATGTTTATAATTTTCAAAAATTTCAGACAGTACATCAAGTAACCATAGTGGTATATGAGAATGTATTTTGGGTTGCGTCTGAAAATCGGTAAGGGTCTTTATATCATATGTGACTCAGCCTGTATAATTTAGGTTTAGATATATTGTGTTTTTTCAGGGTTTACCAGAACTTGAAAAGCGAAACTTGCATACATGATGTAATATTGGAATTTAAGCTTAATAAATTACTTAAAAGCAATATAAAAACTTTTACATTCAGTTACCTTATGTGTAGTTCGTACCAAAAATTTAATTTTACAATTTTTTTTTCTGTACTAAAATCGAGAAAAATTGGTTTGCTTTATATTGGAAGAAAACTCTTATTCAAGCCAGTATTTGGTTGAAATGCTTTGATTCAGGTTGATTCCCGGCTAAAATTGAGCCAAATCGATTGAAAATATCACAAATTGCTTTATTTCAGCCTAAAATTGAGATTGAAGCAATTTCATGTTGTCATACTTACCTTTTGTTTATATCTATTCTTTCATTCTGTTTATTTTTGTTTACTTATACTCCCACAGTACACAGTTTACTAAAAATTTTACAAAAACAGAATTTTCTCAATGAAATTTTCTCCATCAAACCTGCTAAAATTCGCTGTTTATCCGTCCATCTTTCAAACAATTTAAGAATTGTCTAACGAAATAAAAAGCGAATCAAAAAAAAAAACTTTTTAGACAGAAACCGTCATCTATTCGAGTTGAGAAACAAACGATTGCTTAAATAGCCTTCTGTAACGTGTTTGATACCATTTAGTAAAATGAAACTAAATTTTCAAGATTTTTTCATGTTTATACCTATTATTTATTTCATTCTACTTATTCTACAGTTTACTAAAAATTTNGTATATAAGGAAAACAAAAACTAGACACCAATACATCCACTTCTGAAACACTACAACCATGTTGAAATACTTGAAAGTAAGTAATTATTTTTTTTATTATAATTATTTATTATTCTGTATCTGTCAAAAGTAATATAATAATGCTGATAATTACAGGTTGCTACTGTTGCTGTTATAGTTTTAAGCAGCCTTATTATGACGGCTTATGCACAAGGACCATCAGGACAAGGACAACAACAAAAACCAGAATGAAAAAAGTGATTTGAAAGTACGCAAATATTTTTTCTATTATTACAGGTTGAGTCATTTATAATAAAGACCCTAATCGAATTTCAGACGCAACCCAAAATACATTTTCGCAGATAACTTGGGTTTTGTTGCGTTTGCAAAATTTAAATTATTAATTTTAAATCAATGTGATTGTTGATATGTCATGCATTAAATTTGACAGTGTCATCAAATCCACTTTTATAAACGACAAAAAACTAACATGATTTTGGTATATGGAGAATTCCACAAAAATGCTGTGGCCAAATCTGTGTTGTCAAAGGTACAACATAGGACGCCAAGTTATAAAAACTGACAAAGCTATCGCAGATATCTATGTTTATAATTTTCAAAAATTTCAGACAGTACATCAAGTAACGCATAGTGGTATCTGAAAATGTATTTTGGGTTGCGTCTGAAAATCGGTCAGGGTCTTTATATCATATGTGTCCCAATTTAGGTTCAGATATATTGTGTTTTTTCAGGATTTACCAGAATTTGAAAAGCGAAACCTCCACACATGATGTAATATTGGAATTTAAGCTTAATAAATTACTTAAAAGCAATATAAAGACTTTTACATTCAGTTACCTTAGGTGTAGTTGGTACCAAAAATTTAATTTTACAATTTTTGAAAACTTCACAACCGACATCTTTGTTATAAAGTAAACATCTTTTTTTGTTTCTAATAAATTCTGTACTAAAATCGAGAAAAATTGGTTTGAAACTAGCTAAAATTGCTTTATATTGGAAGAAAACTCTTATTCACGCCAGTATTTGGTTGAAATGCTTTGATTCAGGTTGATTCTCGGCTTAAAATTGAGCCAAATCGATTGAAAATATCACAAATTGCTTTATTTTCGCCTAAAATTGAGATTGAAGAAATTATTTTTAAAAAATAAATTAATTTTGAATTAATTCTGTATTAAAATCGAGAAAAAATATATAGCAAATAGTTCAAATTGCTTTATTTTGAAAGAAAACTCTTATTCAAGCCATTATCTGGTTCAAACATTGATTCCTGGCTAAAATTGAGCCAAATCGATTGAAGATATCACAAATTGCTTTATTTCAGCCTAAAATTAAGATTGAAGCAATTTCAAATTGTCATTCTGTTTATGTTTTGTTTACTTATACTACCATACACAGTTTACTAAAAATTTTACAAAAACAGAATTTTCTCAATTAAAGTTTCTCTATCAAACCTGCTAAAACTCGCTGACTGTTTATCCGTCCATCTTTCAAACAATTTAAGAATTGTCTAAAGAAATAAAAAGCAAATCCAAAAAAATACTCTTTTCTCAGGCA